GCAAGACAATTTTGAATTCAAAATATATTAGCGGATGCTCTCTTGACTGATTATTGTTACCTGATTGGACTTGCTGCATGGCTGGATTACTTTTTCTCTATTAGATATCTATCTTATACTCTTTCTTTTGCACTTCCTTGAGAACTACTGAGGAAAGGGTTGAATACCCGGGGGCACCAAGGAACTCACACATCCGGTCTAGTTCTTGGCCCCGAAACCGGTCATGTGTGGAAAGTAATTGGTTCTCTTAATTCTTTCTATGTATTAGGTTGTCCGGAAATTAATGCAGGTTTTAAATTCCAACCGCAATAAGTCATACACTTCTCATTTCTAAGTAGGTTTCAATACATCATTCGATAGAGCAAAGCAAGTTCTACAGGATGGCGATCTTGATTTGACAACAGCTTTAATCCACTACGAGTTTCGAGCCAAAAACTAGAAAGATTCAACTACCCAAAAAATTGAGAAAAATCGTAACTTAGTTCATAAAAAACCTACAAAAATTCTAACTCGCTCACGTAAACACTGTCCACATAAGACCTATATGTACGCCATTGCCGTAATTTTTTCTCGGTTAGAAACCAAGAAAACGAAGATTTTCATGTTTCTGCCAAAGTGATCCTGTGCCGTTCCCACTTAGGTTGTTGTATACTACAAACTTGTAGAAGTACAAACGTAAATTTTCAGCTCTCTACAAGCTTTAGTTCTCGAGAAATATCGAATACAGTTTTCCTAGTCATGTGGTTCAAGCTAAAATTCAAATTTCTCGAGAACTAAAGCTTGTAGAGAGCTGGAAATTTGCGTTTGTACTTATACAAGCTTGTAGTATACAACTACTTATGTGGGAACGGCACAGGATCACTTTGGCAGAAGCATGAAAATCTTCGCTTTCTTGGTTTCTAACCGAGAAAAAAATACGGCAACTGCGTACATATACGTCTTATGTGGATAGTGTTTACGTGTGCAAGTTAGAATTTTTGTAGGATTCTTATGAACTTAGTTACGATTTTTTTAATTATTCGGGCAGTTGAATCTTTTTAGTTTTTGGCTCGAAACTCGTGGTGGATTAGAGCTGTTACTAAATCAAGATTGCCATCTTGTAGAGCTTGCTTTGCTCTATCGAATGATATATTGCAACCTACTTAGAAATGAGAAGTGTATGACTTATTGCGGTTGGAATTCAAAACCTGCATTAATTTCCGGACAACCTAATAGTAACAAAGTGCAGTATCTGCAGTTATAAAGGTTTGGTTAGTAAGTTAATTAGCTCGTTGACTTTAAGTTGTTAACGTTAACTCAAAGAATTAACTTCCCAATGACTAGTTACCAGACTAGTTACCGGAGTAGCGGTTACTAGTTAAGTGGTAAATTTTCGAATTTCTCAAACAATGCTTATCATTAGACAGAAAGGCATGATTACAGGATGCAAGTACTGATCTTCCTGTGTCTTCTCCTATCGTGTTACGGTTTTGCTGTTTCACTCGGTTCTATACAGTCAGTTGCAGTAAAAGGAAGGATCTCTTGTAATGGTAAACCTGATGCTACAGCGGTAATACAGCTGTACGAAAAAGAAATTAGTGAGTTAGAACTGCAAAGGAGCTGAATTCAAACCATGATTTCAGTACTCCACCGAAAGCTAAATGAAGTTAAATCGGACAACAAAGGATTTTATAAAATTGCAGGCAGTGCCGTAGAAGTATCTGAAATCGATCCAGAACTCAGAATCTATTACAGATGCAACAGTAACACGGTACAGCTTGTTTTCTCTTTGCTAATAAACAATGAGACTTCTAAAAAACGAAGAACCAAAGTATTATGTTTCCCGAAAGTTTTGTCCGTTTTTTCAACCTATCATAAAAATATGTGGAACAAAGAAAGGGAAACGCTCTAAGCACTACCCAACGCATCTCTTCTTCCTCTTTCTATGTCATGCATCCATGCCAATTAATCTTCTGTTCACTGAGATAAACGCCAAAATTTTGAACCCATGGTTTTTACTATGTCCAAATTTGACAATTTTTCACAATCTTCATTTTCAACTTTTGGAAGAACTTTGATAGCCCTCAGACAGAGTGAGCAAAGGGCAATGCAATGCAATTATTTGGCATATCATGTTTGGCATAGCTGGCTTTTCAATTTTTTAAAGATAATTTTTTCAAAAGTCTTCACTTTTGCGAAGTTCTAAAATACAGAAACGCCTCGAACACTAACAAATCATCGGATTTTGAAGCTTTCAAAAACCGATTACGATTATTCAGTATTTTTACGAAGCAAATGAGTGTTTACCGCCTCGAAATATAAGATTTCGCATTTTACGTGTACACGCTGGGGTGGGGTCAAATTCAAAATTATGAAAATTTCATCGCCAAAGACCCCGCAAATTGGAGAGGAAATACACCCATTGGAAAGAGGAGGAAAAGCTGCATCGAATAACACCTTAGTTGTGCGCCGTTTCAATCTTTGGCTTTTGGCATCCAAAAGTGGAATTTGATAGCATCAGAAAAATAATTTTAAAAAATTTTCAAGGCTGGCTATGGATGCCGCAAAATTGCATTATATTGCCCTTTGCTTGCTCTATCTAACTATTGCCAAAGCTTTTCCGAAAGTCAAAAATAAAGATTGTGAAAAATTGCCAAACTTGGACATAGTAAAAACCATGGGTTCGAAATTTTGGCGTTTATCTCAGTGAACAAAAGAGTAATCGGCATGGAGACTTGACATTTAGAAAGAGGAGAAAAGATGTGTCGGGTAGTGCTTAAAGCGTTTCCCTACCTTTGTTCCACGTATTATTATGATAGGTTGAAGAAGCGGACAAAACTTTCGGGGCAACCTAATAATAAGATCATACGAAAGCTGTTTAGAGTGCTCCGAAAGAATTTCGCTTAGAAATTCCATCAAAATGTATACGCAAAGATCTACGCATCTATGATCTACGCAAAGGAGAACAAAAGTAATACTGCACTATTGACCTGGACTTCGGCAAGGGGTCTAAAAAAGTCAGAGGACAATAGACCACCCATTAAGTTACGCGAGATGAATAAAGCATTTCCCTCAATGTCAGTCTTAGCACAACAAATCTTAAATATGCACTCGTCAATGTCACAAAGAATGTAAGCCTTTTTTTCTTCTTGTTATTCTCTAAGTTATATAAGCTTAGTTTTAAAATCCTTAATCTTGCTTCTTTGCAATATTCTTTACTCCACCTCGAGACTAAAATGGAAAGAAAAAATGATTGAATGAAATGCCGCGTCAGGGAAGAAGCCTACGTGCAGTAAGATTTCAATACTTAAAGCCATTCCAAACTTTTTCACCACAGTTTTCTCTCTTTTCAGACTTTCCCGAACTAGAGATAAAATTTTAGTCTGATGCCAATGTCTTTTGCGTTTTTTGGACCAACTAAATCCCTTACAATAAAGGTATGTTTCTGCGTGCCATAACCCCGCAATTCGTGCCATCGCACGCGCGTGCGTGCATCTGGACGCTGTGAGTTCAGTAGGACGCACCTTGATCTTTGTACTGAGTGCACCTAAAAAGCTAAAACTTTCGGCATGCATGCTAGCTCGTAAACGTAAAAATCCAAAACTGTTCAGAGGTAGTATAAAAAACGAAAAAAAGTTTGAGTTGCTTCCTTAAACTACATCTATCTGATGATTTTGGTGAATAGTGGGTGATTTTTAGAAAATCGAACTCTCAGAAATTGGAAAAAAGTCAGTTCAGCTTAAGGGTTATGGTAAAGCTGGGGGTCCGCAATTTTGTAGACACATTTGGTCCGTGCCTGACTACGCTAGGAATTTTTTAGAATTTTGGGATCATTCTGGAGCGATTTTCAAAAAACCCGCTCATGGACACGCCCTAACCCAAGTGTGGGTAGAGCCAAACGGGCACGGCTATAACCGAAAAATTCTCTGGGTCAAACTGGTGCGAGGGCCTTGGCCCGAAAGCCAGGGATTGATGGAGGGCCGGTACGGCGGGGTAGAGATTCCTGGGTGAGCATATTCAATTTTCCAGCCTGTCTCCCCGATTAAATAAGAGACTATGCAATATATTGTATCGGTCAATATACTGTACAGCTCATAATGGTGATTTTTCGCTGGCCGATGCGGATGCACTGGAAGTATAAAAATCACTTATTACTATGTAAATGACGAACAAAATTTCGAAGTTTTTCTAAAGTGGAAAAAATCAGCGAATGTGGAGGAAAACAAGGCAAAAGGGGTTAGGACATGTTAGGTTTTTAGTTAGAATACTTAAGGTTCTTGAAAAACGTAAGGCTCGTTTGTTCCGAATGTTCAAAAATCATAAGATTTTTGAAAATTTTAGAAAAATAGGTGAGTGTTGAAAAGATAAGGCAAAGAGTCTAAGAGATGTTATTGCCTTAGCTTAGGGTGGAGGACTATATGCCGCCGAAAAAGGGCGGTCCCCGCGGTCATTTGCGACAAATGCGCACGCTTGTACATGCGCGGACATGCGTTCCTGCAGGGAATCTGTGCGGGACTCTTCCAAATTCGGCGACATATAGTCCTCCACCCCCTTAGCTTATGCATCTAAGGTTTGAGAAATAGTAGAAAATGTAGGTTTTTGAACGATCGCGAATCTCTAGTAGTTCTGCAAAATTTTTGGAACTTTTTAGAAGCCTAGAAAAACGTGTGAATGTCAGGGGCAAAAATTGGGAGAATTCGGCTTTCATTCTTCCGTTTAGCGGAAACTAAGAATTTGATTTCGCATATACAGTATACACAAGCACGTAATTATCTAAATAACACAAAAATAGCTTAAGTTCAGTGTCGGAGCTGTATGTGGCAACTGCGGATCTCTTTCGGATTTTTGCACTGATGCTTTGCTCTTCTTTTCTGAATCCTTCTCGAGGCTGCTCATTTTGGAATGTTTCCTCGGCGATTGCTCAGCGTCTATTGATTCTGATATTTGTTGTACTGCATCTATTAATAACTTCTCACAACTCTGAGAGGATTTAATGCTATGTTGAATAGTCCTCGAGTTCTTTCCTGGAAGCTAATGCGTAACGCACCAGGGCGTGACGAAGGCCCGGGCATCTGCTCCTCCGGCGCGTCTGCAATTTCGTGCTCTTCTTCAGACTCAGAAGACACGTCGTTGGAGAATTCTAGTTCAAGCTCATTTACGACAATCTCAGGTGCAACATTTTCACAACGACTTGTGAAACTGAACCAGAAAATAAACTGCAGTTAGCAACCATGAAATGACGATACCACTCACTTTGCAAGCTCTAACATGTTCTGTACAAATTCTGTATAAATTCTCCGCGTCTTCCCTTTTGGCAAGCTGTCGACCCTTGAGGTAAAATGCCGTAAACAAGTTTTCAAGATTACTGGCTCCTTCCCAGGCCTCTGAAGACGGTGTTTAACCGAAACGCAAGGCAGTAATAAAGTGTGCCACCAATAAAAACCTGTACGACATAAAAGAATTGTTCATGCCATCAATTTCAATTTTTTTGTAAAGTGCATGATTACACAATTTTTTAGCACCTGAGGCGCTAAATTTAAACCAAATTACAAGCTGGTCATTTTGGTGCCGCTTCTTAGCACGAAACGAGTATTTTGCCTATTCTTCTAGCGTGCGTGTTACTTGAAAAAGAATTCACACTAATCAACGATGTCAAGTTTTGCAGCGAGAACATAATTGTGATCAGTGCCGATCTGCATTAATTCAATGCATGACATTAGAAAGACAGGCTAACGGATCGGCTATTTCTCTACACATTAGTTCCCAAAACAATTGAATACTTGTAAACAACGAAGAAATTCAAATTAAAAAAATCAATACATGTCGCACGACTGATTTGAATTGAGTTTGAGGTCGGAAACAAAAGAGTGCGAATTTCTATAACTTCGATAATGAGTGCAAACCAATCATTTCATCCGGCATTAACCCACTGACGACGACGCGTGATTGCGTGGCGGCGCTGCGAGACGACGCGATATTGCACAACATTTCATTTTCATTTCCATTAGATACGCTCGAGGCGTTCCATAAAAAAACAAACAGTGAAAGTTGTTAGTTTTAACTAACCACGAATTACAGAAACATCATACGCTTCAAGTCCAGACTTCATTCAAACTAAATAAATAACGTCTTAGTTTGCAAGAAGACTGCTGGGTATTACGAATGTCAGTGGTGAGTTATCCACAGAGATGGTACCCATGCTCCCGTTAGCCAGCAAACGGTCTTAAAATATTCAAACAAACAAACGACGGTGGGTAAGCATCCCACTGCCGGGGAGGGCCCAAAACTCTAGGAGTGTTGAAACTCTTTGTTGTTATTTACAAGATGTAGACAAGGTTGTTTTGTAAACATCTGTATATCTTTTGAACGAGACTCTCTACAGGCCCCAGAAGCCCCATAGACTGCCCCAAATGCAAAAAATTGGAAAAATCCTAGACCTGTAAAGGATGCCTCTGCAAGAGGTGTGAGCTACCAGTGCTTCACATCGTCCCTGGCAGCAAAAAGTGTGTGAGCCACCGGTGGTTCACAACGTCGTCAATGAGTTTGACGAGTTCACTTTAAAATTTGTAAAAACTTGTAAAAATACACCTGCAGGACCTCATAACTTGATGTATTCCATAAAAGCCTCAGTCGTGACATGTAATGTTTGAGCGGTACTGGGATCAAATTTATTATATTTTACAATGATAAACACCCGTAGTACGGAGGTAATTTCAGGCTTCTTGCGTTTCAAACTTGATATTCTCACCAAAAGCCAAAATCGAGAGAGGCTTTTTTAGCTAGTAGTGACATTTTTGTTACAAATCACTTTGTGGAAGAACCAGCATGCCCTCGTGTACGACATACCGTATGAATGTTTGAAGTTCAATACCTATTCACTTACTCGAGAAGTTTTGTCAATTCGTAACGTACAGCAATATATGAAAGCCTTATTTCTTGTGCCTTAACCGATTTAACCTTCCTTAACAACTTCACTTCCCTTTTATGAAACCCAACCACCATAAAAACTGCCAACGACCACCTAGAGGAAGTCGCCTTTGGAAAAGTTGGAAAACACATTCACCTCTCCTAGTTGGTTTTTCTAACCACATGTACACTGCAATCATGTATAAGACCGCTTTGTGAGACAAACCAGCATGCATGGTAGACATAAAACTGATATATTGCTGTTTGCTACAAAACCACTAAAAATGTCATTTGACCAGGAAAGCAAGAGAAATGTTTGTTCTCAATATTCATGCAATGATACAAAAGGAAACAGAGCCTGTGCTTGAAACTGCAGACTTCTGGTAACTTAGCAGCCTGTGAAGAAAAGCACTTTCGAACATGAATCTCCTGATCAGTTTCCTGCTGTTTCCGATCTTTCTTACAAGTCTCGTAAAGAGCGAAACCACATTTTTGATCAGATGTTCTCAGCTCAGGTGTGGCATAGAGTGTAGAAAAGAGGTAAGAAGTTATCACATTTGTGCCTAGTATGTCAACCAGAAATACTAGGTACAGTGATATCAGAAGTGTGATACTATAGGCGAGTGACTTTGCAAACGATGAGCAATTCCGCGAAGTAGGTGCAATTGTCTGCGGAGATGTGCGAAATTTCGCACCTAACGTCTACGTTACTGTATAGACTGAGAAAGAACGAGAAGTGCGAAGCATTGAAAGAATTGAAACAGCTACGGTTTTTGTAATCCTCTACTGCTACCAATTACAAAAAACAAAACTGCTCAAATAGCTTTTGCTTCAATTTGCAAAGTTTGAAAATAGACACTTACGGATCTATGTTTGTTTGGATAAAACGGTCAACCTAGTGTCTACTCAAGAAACACACTTTTGGTCGCAGTTACACTGTCAATTCCACATTTCCTACTTACTGCGATCCCGAAATTCCAGTGAGGATAGGTTCACAAATTTTGGCATTCAAAAGCCCAATCTATAAGAAGACATACCACAAATTTATCTTCTCATCTGTAGAAATTTTTGAAATGTTCTAGATGAGTTTATTATTCTTGTTACGCAGATAGTGATGATCTGGCAGCAGTGTATTGAAAGTCCTGCCCCACCCTCCTTTCCTCTCCTAGCCGTATGGAGAATGTGAATTATTAGGTGAGAGACGAGAGGTGCGAAGTAGGTGTGAGATAGATGTGAGCACTAGGTGTAAAATTTCCGATTCGTATAGAAAGTGGCCTCCCGACATTTCGAGTTACCGCGGCAGATATTTAGACGAAAAAGAAAGTTTCTGAATGCTTTTTGATTTTCTTGAGATTTAATTCCAAAATTCCGATAAAGAAAGGAAAGGAGGGTGGGGGCAGGACCATCCATACAATGCTGCCAGGTCATCGACTATCTGCGATATACCATTATGCTAATACTATAACAAGAATAATAAACTCATCTAGAACATTTCAAAAATTTCTAAAGGTGAGAAGATAAATTTGTGGTATGTCTTATAGATTGGGCTTTTGAATGCAAAAATTTGCGAACCTATCCACATTGGAATTTCGGGATCGCTGTAAGCAGGAATGTGGAATTTACACTGTTTGCGACCAAAAGTGTGTCTCCTAAGTAAACACTAGGTTAACCGATTTCATCAAAACAAATATAGATCTATATTTGTCTGTTTTTGAACTTTGCAAATTGAGGCTAGTTGGCAGTTTTGTTTTTTGTAAATGGTAGCAGTAGAGGATTACAAAAACCGTAGCTGTTTCAATTCTTTCAATGCTTCGCACTTCTCGTTCTTTCTCAGTCTATACAGTAACGTAGACGTTAGGTACGAAATTTCGCACATCTCCGCAGACAAATGCACCTACTTCGCGGAATTGCTCATCGTTTGCAAAGTCACTCGCCTATAGTATCACACTTCTGATATCACTGTACCTAGTATTTCTGGTTGATATACTAGGCACAAATGTGATAACTTCTTACCTCTTTTATGTACTCTATGCCACACCTGAGCTGAGAACATCTGATCAAAAATGTGGTTTCGCTCTTTACGAGACTTGTTAGAAAGATCGGAAACAGCAGAAAACTGATCAGGAGATTCATGTTCGAAAGTGCTTTTCTTCACAGGCTGCTAAGTTACCAGAAGTCTGCAGTTTCAAGCACAGGCTCTGTTTCCTTTTGTATCATTGCATGAATATTGAGCCTGTCTTTTGAGTGTCATGCATTGAATTAATGCAGATCGGCACTGATCACAATTATGTTCTCGCTGCAAAACTTGACATCGTTGATTAGTGTGAATTCTTTTTCAAGTAACACCCATGCTAGAAGAATAGGCAAAATACTCGTTTCGTGCTAAGAAGCGGCACCAGAATGACCAGCTTGTAATTTGGTTTAAATTTAGCGCCTCAGGTGCTAAAAAATTGTGTAATCATGCACTTTACAAAAAATTGAAATTGATGGCATGAACAATTCTTTTATGCCGTACACGTTTTTATTGGTGGCACACTTTATTACTGCCTTGCGTTTCAGTTAAACACCGTCTTCAGAGGCCTGGGAAGGAGCCAGTCACTTTGATATTACTTTGCCGCCAAAAACCTCCTCCCACATATTCGATTCATCTCGGGTGGAGATTGAGAGACTGAGCGTGGAAGTCTACCCACCGAGTGTATCACCGGGCAGCGCGTATGTTGCTTCAGGACGGCTCGAGTGACTTGTCGTGAGATGGCTTAAGTAAGGGTGGCAGTCTCATATTTCGCACAGCGCAAGAGCCATCTCATAGTGATCCAACTGCTCATTCGACAAGTTTGATCACGTCCTGAAGCAGCATACGCGCTGCCACGGAGATACACTCGGTGGGTAGACTTCCACGCCCAGTCTGTCGATCTCCACCCAAGATGAATCGAATACGCGGGTGGGGGGAGGTTTTTGGCGGCAAGGAAAGTAATATCAAAGTGACTGACTCGTTTCCTGGCCTTCGAAGACGGTGTTGAACCGAAGCGTAAGGGAGTAATAAAATGTGTCACCAATAAAAACGTGTACGGCATAGAAGAATTGTTCAAGTTATAAATTAAATGCCCAGCTTACAAGAAAAGAGGACTTACAGTGTATAGCAGCTCATATTGTATCTGCTGCACTAAATGGTGCACGCCCATATTTATGACGCGATCCTATTCTTGATCCTATTCTTGACACACAGCACTTGCTCTGGCGACCGTTATTTCCAGCAAACGAGAAGCACGCCTTGACCCATTGAAAGTGAAATTATTCAAAACAAAGCAGATATCAAGGTTCTGACCGCTTTAGCATGTTTGTGTGCAAAAAAACTAAAACGCAGAAAGTTTTACAGTTCTCAGGTAGCGTCTTACCATGATGGTCTCCACACTTTGGGGCACAGAAGAGTAGAAAATTCCCCATATATAATTTATGCCTGGCTTTTATGTCAAACATT